CCGCAACTAAGCCAGCGTACGGCAGTATGATATGGTAAATCATTTTCTCCAATCTGTTGAATAAACTCGCGGAATTGTCGGTGATTCAGCCCAGTGGATCTGATGAAGTTAACAACTGATATGACTGGTTTGTATATCTCCAGAACAAAAAAGCTTCTTTCGATTCCTTTACATCATTGAATAGGTCTCTAAAATACACAACTTTACCACAATTCAACCGCCACTCTATCTCTTATCGTTTACGAGATCCCCATGTACAGAAACGAATTTGAATAGCCCTGTATAATTCTTTTCTTTTTTTTTCAATTTTCGAGAGCATACAAATTATTGTACTATGATAGATTTTAAGGATGTATTAGACGATAATGCTGAAATAGACACAAATATATGTGATATGAAACTGAAAAAAATATACAAAGTGTTCAGGCGATGTATTGAATTTATTGGAGCCTCTGGAGACACAATACATTTTGTTTTACGAGAGGAAATTAGCAAATCAAGATTCAGATGATGTGGTGCTGCAGATAATAAAGATGAAGCAAATATATTCAATGCATTTTTTCCTAACTTGGGTATAAATATGTCTGAAAAATACAAAGTATTAATATGAAACAAAAGTTTCCTGAACGTAACAAAATTGACTCAATCATTTTTCTTGAACCTGTAAAGGAAAACTAAATTATTATTCATCCATCAAACCTACATCCACCGAAACAAATTTACAGAATATATAAATATTCATGGTTGAATTGGAATTAGCTTACTTTGAATATTGATAAGACTAAATTTGTTGCCTTTACACCAGCGGTCATTAGTCAACCACATAATTTGTCTCTGAAACTACACTCTATAAACTGTCACAAAAACGTATGTGGGTGTTCTACTATTCAAAAATGTCATTAAATGAATATTTAGGGGTAGTCCTAGACCAGGGGTCTCCAAACTACGGCCCGCGGGCCAAATCCGGCCCGCCAGTGTCATCAATCCGGCCCGCGACAGCCAATGATTTACTGTCATTTATGGTAAATCATGTTCTCCAATCTGTTGAATAAACTCGCGGAATTGTCGGTGATTCAGCCCAGTGGATCTGATGAAGTTAACAACTGATATGACTGGTTTTAGAACTTCAGACATATCCAAACATTTGATGAATGATATAATGTAAGACTAATGGTTTTGAATCAGCATCATTTTTTACAGCCTTTGACACAAGTGCAACCACTCCTTTATTTTTACCATACTGACCATATCTGACTCATCCAATGATAAAGAAAACCACTCATGATGTCCATTTTTGTCAGACAGTTGGGATGATATATTTTCTGCGATGTCTTGAACCCTCCGAGCCACGGTGTTTGCTAACAAACTGACACTTTTAAATAAATTTACCTTTTCGGGGCATATTTCTTCGGCTACTGCACAATAGACAGTTTCGCTTCCTTCGCCTTCCCTACGCAGACTAACTCGCAGTTGCGCCGCTAGCCTTTTTATATGCAATTTTTACTGCCATCTCGAGGTGATCGGAATTCAGTATCTAGAACCAGAACTTCCTCGAACCAACGCGGTAATTCCAAATATACAATTACGCCTAATGCCACTTAGCGGGTAGCTGAAAAAGATAGTACATAGTACCACTACTCGCCACTAAATGTCGTTAAGTGTCACAATGCACAATAATAATTGAAATGCAAAAAAAGCGTAAGTTTGCTTAGGTCACGCACTTTGCGATTATCCTAGTCTAGAAATATAGTTAAGGGCAGAAATTAGCCCTTGGAACAAACTGAAAAAATCATTATGGCCCGAAGGCTTCAAAGTTTGGAGACTCCTGTCCTAGACCAACACATACGATGGTCTGATCTTTTCATGCATGTAAACAAACGCCTTAGAACACTTATACGCAGTTTTTATTCTCTAAGAGACATCCTCTCCAGAAAAAACCTTATGATGATCTACAACTTCCTAGCCGAATCAATTCTGTCTTACTGCATCACAATATGGAGTGAAGCCTTCAACAACTCACTGAACATTGTACAAACAACACATATTATAAATAATCTTGAAAAAAAGATAAACATTTTTCCACCGATAAGCTATATCAGAAAGCAAATATATTGAATGTTAAACTATTACACACTCACCAATATTTGAAGAGAATATTCATAAATCAAGAGAAATTCAACCAGAAAAATACTTGGATATACAGGTCTACTATAAACATGAATGCTAATATCCAACCAATATCTTACCAATTGTCTTAAAACAGACTTCAAAAACGAAGAAATACAATACTGAAACAAAAAAATATGTTATGAGTTATTCTAAAAAAAGTTATGATATACTGAATACAAAATCATACTAAGGTTGTGAAGTAAAATATTCAATATCAGAAATCTAGTTTATTTTGCTTACTCACCGTGTCAAACAACATGTAACTCTAAATTTATGTGATCCAGTACATGGCAGGCAGGCAAACTTGACCTAGGCTAATGCAGTCGATTTCGAAATTTTTTCTAAAGAGCAATATGTGAAGATTTGATAAACTGAACTCTAATTTTAAGAAAATATAAATTGAAAGTTGAAAATTTGAATAATTGTGAGAGTGCTTTTGTTGAAGCGAATGTTGTCAAAGGTTATTATTATCAATCATAAGTGGGGCGACACTATGGGGGAGACACTATGACAGAAAAAATATACACATATATGCTCTGCTACCCGAAGGAGGAACGGTCGCGAGTTGAAAGTTAAATTATCTGATTTCCCATATTAATTTCTGAAAGATGGGTATTGATAGTGTAAACTTTTTGTGCATTAATGTACGGTTCTCTTCTATTAACGTATTTCACGAAAATGTATGAAATTTTCATTCACGCCTGGAGAAACATTGGCGTAGTGAAACACATGTTACGATTTCATAAATTTTACCTGGATAAAAATGAAATGTCGTTCGGAATCTGTTAAAACCATTGTCTGAGGAAAATTTTGTTTTAGGTATACCGGAAGAAAGAAACTGTCTCGAATGTACTTCTTCATCCTCCATCTCAGCATAGCGGACCTGATAACAGCCTTCTTGAGTGTTCTCACCCAGCTAGGTTGGGACATCACATACAGATTCAAGGGAGGAAATTTTTTGTGCAAGTCAGTAAAATACGGACAAACTCTAGGGCCTTATTTGAGCTCGTACATATTGGTAGCCACGGCTCTAGACAGGCATCAAGCCATCTGCTATCCTTTGACGTATTGCTCGTGGACATCCAGAAGATCAAAAGTGATGGTTTATATCGCTTGGACGGTCAGCCTGATATTTTGTATACCACAGGTAAGTATTGTTAATGTTTTATATACCAAAAATATTGGTTAATGTTAATGCCCTGACGGTGACGATCTCAAGTCACTCGTGTGGCGTGTGGTACTACCACAAATTACGAATACTACGAATGAATTGTTCAAAAACTACCAACCCTTAACCGCTTGTCACTTGTTGCATCTTCAACAAGTCATTCAAATGATTCCGGCATTGAGTTCACCTTCTCTGAAACAAGATATATCAAATCCAAAAATTGTTTCAGATGGAATTGTAGCAAGTGAAGTGAAATTTGTAATGATATAATTGAGCCTACCCGAAGACTGCCATTGTTAGTCTGCACCATGAGATGAGAGCCGATGAAACGATCTTACGATCCCATTTCATTGAAACTTCAGTTTCAATAAATTGTGCAAAAAGTTCTCGAGTGACAAAATAGGAAGTGCAACTCAATCATTTTTGATTTGGAGGAACAGCATGTATCGTCAAGGAATTATACAGGGCTTTTCATGATGGGCGTTAATTAGCAGTTTCAGTATGCATAAATCAATATGACCTACACGCCCAAAATATTTCAGACGAAGCGGCGTTGTCGCTTTTACTATAAAGTAGCGGCTTCTTTGATTTTTCAAATGGAACACCCCGTATATAATATCATATTATGATTCATTATCACTTTGTCAACAAATTCATATACTATTT